TCTAATTTCTTCTTTTTTATTTAGTAATGTTTGGTCTTTTGTTTTCTAATTTTTAATTTTTTTTCACTTTGAGTCTTTTCTATCACAGTTAAAAGAAAAAAAAAAAAAAAAACGGACAAAAAACAAATATGAGAGGAATATTTGGTTCCAAAAATGTAATTTACTATATTAAAATTAAAAAAGGGTCAAAATTTAAAAAGAAAATACAAAAAAATATAGGTCGAATTCGTATTAAAACGAAACGAAATGCAATATGACACGGATTTTTTGCGTGAATTTTTTTCACAACCTGTTTTGACACCCATATCGACCTCATAGCAGTGCATTCAAAATCTTGATCCACATTAAGAATGTTAAATAATTATAAGGATGCAAAATATAACTGTTAGTATTACGCGATACACAATACATATCATAATTCATGAGATATGATACGAAGCAAAAGTTGAGCGATAAGAATCTATTTCTTGTATCGAGATTCACTTTATATCTTACTATTCAGTGTGTCGAATCATATATAGTATTACAAATAACGATTTGAAAATCAAATCAAGACTTGCATTTTTCAATTCAAAAAATTATGAAAGGTTAGTATTATTAGGGAAAGATAATAAAGATATGATTTGCGATTCAAATGCAAAAATGAATCTGGAAACTAATTATTAATCAGAGAAACAATTAAATAAATATTCAAGTTAATAAGAATCTCTTCATTCTTCAAAAAAGAATTGATATAAATATGAAAAAATAGACTTAACAATAAGAAAATAGAGTCTCTTAAGGAAGTTTTCAAATAGCTACAATACAAACAAAAGGAGAGAAACTAAGTGCTTGTTTGGTGAGCACGATAGGATAATGATGAATAAGAGTAGGAAAGCGTATCCTATCCTATGTTTGATGTGTATTATAAATAAGGAATATGATAAAATTATGTTATCTTATATTATGTTTGGGGTAAACCAGATATAATATAAATAGACAAAAATACACTTTATAAGAATTTTATAATTTTTGTAAATTATTTTTTACCTTACAAATTAATTTTAAACTAAGTGCTTGTTCCGGTGCAGATGCTGGCAACATGGGGCTTGTTAGGGGAGGTTCTATGAATGGAGTAGGCGAAGTCGGTGGAGGAATAGTCGTCGCCGATGGCAGAGGCATTACCTCTTGCAATGGAGGTGTTGAAGGTGGTGGAACAGTGGCAATTGGAGCTGCTGTTGATCTGGGGACATATGGAGGTAGCTAGCATTGATGGTGAATGAGAAGGGTTTCTGACATTGCAGGTGTTTTATTGGAAAAAATTAATTGAAATTGCAACAATGTGAGGTATTAATGTGGATTTTTTTTGAATTTGTGAGGGACCACAATTTCAATTAAATAGGTCTACTTTGAATTTCTTAGGGACCACGAGTAACCTTTTTATTTGCTAGGGACCAAAGCGAGCATTATAAAATAAATTTGCTAAGGACCGAAAAATATATTTACTCAATTTTTTTCCGTTATATGATTGTTGTTTTTGGGTTGGAAAATTTTTTGTTACGATAAAAATAAAAAGAAAAAAAAATATGACTAAATAAAAAAAAATAGATTAATAAAAAAAAATAAGACAAAATATTTTAAAACTTGGAAGAGTGATAGAAAAGATTAAAATTAAAATAAAATAAAAGTAATCTAAATAAAAAGAAGAAAATAGACTGAAAACAAAAGTGAAATATAAGAAAAAAAAGTCACTGTTTTAAGTTTCAAACATATTTTATTTTATTTTTCCTTCTATTTTTGTTCTTTATGTGCTCAGTCTAATTTTTTCTTTTTGATTTAGTAATGTTTGGTCTTTTTGTTTTCTATTTTTTTTTCTCTTTGAGTCTTTTCCATCACAGTTAAAACTTAAAAGAACAATATGAGTTGTTACAACAACAACAACAAAAACAATATGAGCACATTTTAAGAAAGTGTATAGGATTATTAGATTATTACAGTTATGATTATAATTTATAACAAATTAAACCAACAATATGAACAGTAGTTAAGATTGAATTTCCAAATTACTATCAGAGGCAACAATCATTTGGCATATTTAATTTCCAAATTCCTTGCTTTGATTCATCAGAAGATTATGAGCACATTAATACGGATTTGACGTTTCTTTAAATATTTATTCTAGTGCTCTTTATTCGATGCTAAAGTATATTTTGATTATTTTCGGACATTTGGCAACACGAATGACTAGAGAATAGGGAAATAATTGTATAAAAAAAAGGGAAAATATAGATAAATTATGACATGGTCACAAGAGAAATCATAACTATATAAAAATAAATTAATAGTGATAAAAGAAAAAATAAAAAAAATATTGAAATGAATAATTATAAATTTATCTTTGTGTAATTGTGATCTTTTCACATGATCATATTATTTATTTATTTTTTAAGTGAAGATCCATTTTCAAATATACCATTTCTACATTAATTAGCTTTATTGCCTCTCAGCAACCAAAGTTAAAATTAAAAATAAAATAGAGTAAACACCAAAAGATAGAGAGGAGGAGGAGAAGGAGGAATGAGGAATTTTCTGTAAGGGGGAGGGGGGAGGAATATGTCATTTCACACGGGTTAGCGCAATTGCCTCAACAAGCAAATGTTAAAAATAAAAATGAAAAGAGAGGCGAAGGAGGGTTGGCATATTTTGGCCGAATTTTTTATCCATGCTGATGCTAGTCATAAATTGAATTTGACTCTTTACTTTTCTTGTTGGTAAGTAATACATAATCTCACAGTAAATATTCATTGAGATTTTTGATTCATTAATGTAAAGTTGTTTATATTGTTATATACAAACAATAATATATTTGAATATTATTAAAAAAATTAATTTTACTCAAGTTATTGCAGTACTTAAAATTTTCAACAATTTAACGAATCCTAATTTATAACTATTTAACTAACAGCAGAATCAAATTTCCTATTATCTTTATTTGTCACCTAGGCTATCCCTTTAATTAAGAGTCGAAATGTTTACCGGAAAAAAAAAAGTTAAATTAAATTACAGCAACCGAATCAAATTTCAGTGGAAAAAAATTCTCTCTTTTGTTTTTTCTGATGACAACATAGAGAAATATAAAGTTAAATTACAGCAACCGGGGACGTGCAAGTGCTTGCAAGTTGGGGAATTTTTTTTTTTCACATAAGATGAATACTTTAAGTCAAGTAAAAAAAAGAGAAAGAAATAAGAAGATTAAAGGAAAAAGGTAAAAATATGTCTAACCCAACCAACCCTTATAATTAAAAGCTTAAAGCTTAAATCCTAGCTCATTACTTTGTCTCTTTTTTTTTATATATAAACCTTATTAGCTCCAAATCTTAATAAACATCAACATTTCTGAAATTCAATCTTCATAAGTGGAGGAGAATCTCATTGCATTTTTAACATTTTTTTGTGAAACAAAAGTGGTCAACTTTGAATCAAATAGACATCGACAAAGGTGGATTTTGATCAATTAATTAACTCTTACAATTATACTATATTTTACAAATGTCTTTTTGTGGTGTTTATTTTTTTTTTAAATTATCATTATCTATTATTTTCTTAAAATTTTGGTTGATTCACCAAAGCTTTACTTTTGAAGTGGAAGTAAAAATTGAATCATGATTATGATCTTTAAAATAAAAAATAAAAAAATTGTGCAGAAATAAAAAAAATATCATGGGTCCGCCACTGAACTACAACATATACGCCAATAAGAATGCTAAGGGCCTCTTTGGTGTAATGTATAAGGCTTGATAGTATAAGCTTATACTATACGTTATAACATTTACAGTTGTTTGGTGTAACCATCGTATAGTATAAGCTTATAGAGCAGAACCCCTCAATACATCAAAATGATGTATAACTGTATGTGCACCCAAAAGGGTCACCATTTCTTCTGTTGTTATGCCTTTTTTTGCAAATATTTGTGATGCTATTGGCACAGGAGTGGAGGGTCCGGGCAAATCAACTTCAGTACTTGTAGAGGTTAATCCATCACGTCTTCCTGTGGGAACAACGTATTTGGCTCCTCCAGATAAAGCAACAGCATCTCTGGTTGCTAATGTTATGATATCAGCACATGACACAATTGAAGGACGTGTAGCTTCGAGGCTTTTCTTGACCTCATCAATCAGATCATACCCTCGAACGCTAGCGTTCGGAGATGCGTCTTTCTCTGCTGTGTTGTTCTTAGTGGAGTCTATGAGTATAGATGCATCACAACCCTGCAGAAAGAAGAAATATTAAAGTTCCCGTGCACTTTCCTCTAAAAGTATAAATTACATATAATTAATGAAGAAAATTTTCTATATTCCTTTCATCACCTTTACTAAAGTACCCATTCGAAATTCCCAATTCTAGCAAGCAAACATACAACCAAATTGATACATTACAAAAATCCACAAGCCCGTAATAAAGATTTAGCATTAGCAGCCAATAAAAACAACACAGCAATTCACAAACAACATCACAGTACAGAACTATCAAGCCCGACATGTAATGGGATCTACGGTGTACACTAACTCCAAAAAGCAAAGGATGAAAAACACAAACAACAACATAGAATTATTAAACAACTCCAAACACCAACGTGAAATTTTTAAATGATAACAATTCCACATAACAGAATTGTTAGATAGAGAACGAGACTATTTGTGAGATTATAGGGGTACGTTTGGATACAAAGGTTAAGAGAAAAAGGATATAGATGGTTACTTTTTCATTTTTGGAATGGAGGTCATATAATGATTATAAACAAAATAAAATAAAATAAAGATAATTGGAGGTTACATGCTAATATCTCCTTTTATTCCCTTCATTTTAAGAAAATTCTCAAATAATAGAATATTTTCTTAAAATGAAAAATTTACTGTTCCATTGAGAGGAGAGTGGACACTGGAGACTGGAGAGGGAGATGTTTGGGGTGGTGTTATTATTATTATTATTATTATGTATTTTTCTTTTAACTGTAGATGAGTTTTTTCAATCAAAAGTTTTTTTTTTTAACAAAAAAATATTTTTACAACAGAGTCTGCTTGAATGTATGTTTTAAAAAAAAAAGCCATAAAAAAAGTCAAAATTCTATTTTTTTTAAATTAAAAAATTTAAGTTCTAAAGTTAATTTTTTTTTCAAAACTCAAATATTTAAAAATCAAAATAACTTTAATTTTTGTAAAAAATATTTTTAATATAAATATGACATAAAAATTACTTTTTTTCATAAACTCATTCAAACCGACCTAAGTCAAATAACTTTTTTTTAGGTTAATGAACAATTTCATTCCAATTTTAAATTTTTTATAAATAATATACCAATTTGATTATATTTTTTGAATACGTTGAAAAGAATTGAATACACAACTCACTCCGATGAAATCACTCCTTCAACTTGATTACATTAGACTAAAGTTTGACGGTCATTTATATGTGTAACTCAGATTGATTTAGTTGAGTAAATCAAACAAGTAAACAATTTAAATTTGGATACACAAATTTTTTTTTATTCGAAGGATGTTCAAATGTTTTGCATACTGTACAAAGAGCTGGGTGAAGAAAAACCATAACATCTAAAAATTTGGGTTTACCTTCTAAAACAAGATCAATGATGAGATTCAAGGAACAAGTATCAACGATAATATTACACGAGAATATTAAAGTCTATGAATTGACGATGTTATTTAAGAGAAGAAATTAATAAATTGTTCTTACTCTCACAAAGCAATCATGGAATTGCATGCGAAGTAAGGATGCTGTTATGGACTTGTCTTGTTCGAATCGCTTCTGCACTACACTCTCCACTGTGGACTCTGCACTTGGGCACGTGGATTCATAGAATCCAACTTGGAGGAATGCCATTGTGTTAAGGGAGAAACCCTTAAAGGAGAAAGGAAAGGAAGATGAAGAGGAAAAGAATTCTGATATTATTCAAGATGGATCTGAAGAGTATCTCTCTACATGTATTTATACAATTCAACATTAACCAACTAATGTAACTGCAAATGCTATCTGTCCATACAAGTGTAAGCCAGTATTATTCACATGCTTCCTAAGCTAACACGTTTCAACAACTAATACGTGTCTAAACTACTAACCACTAAGCCACATAATCAGTTAGAAGAACCGAATCCCTTCTCTCACGGTTTGATCTCCTTCGACTTGTAACATTCCCCTGCTCTTCACAAGTGACCTTGTCCTCAAGGTCAAGATTAGGATAGCAACGTTGCAAATCATCTCCCTTCTCCCAGGTGGCATCTTCAGGAACTGAGTGAGACCATTGAATTAGGAATTCACGAACTTGCTGGTTGTTAGAAGATACAACCCGTTCACTTAAGACAACCAAAGGAACCTGTACAGGCTTGTTGTCAACAGCGAAGGAAGGCAGAGGATGGGGAGTCACTAGCTGAGTTCCTACGCAAGGCTTCAACTGTGAGACATGGAAAACAGGATGAATTTGACATCCTTGTGGTAGTTTCACTTCATATGCAGCAGGTCCCATTACACGTGATACTTCAAATGGACCAAAAAATCTTTTACTGAGCTTATGATTAGCTCTTCGTTCCACAGTGACTTGACGATAAGGTTGTAAGCGGACCCATACCTGATCTCCCACTTGAAAAGATCTCTCCTTGTGGTGTTTGTCATACTGTATCTTCATCCGGTTCTGTGCTCTTTGTAAATGTAATTTCATATGCTTCATTATATCATTGCGTTGCTGTAACATAGTATCAATGGCTTCTATTTTTATGAGTCCCCTTGGATAAAAAGGGATCAATATTGGTGGCTTCCCAAAGACTGCTTGATATGGTGTCATAGCTATTGCAGAATGATTAGCTGAATTATAGTGGTATTGAGCCCAAGGCAAGAATTGAGACCATAATTGTGGTTGCTCAAAACAAAACGAGCGAAGATATTGTTCCAAATATCTATTAGTCACTTCGGTTTGTCCATCCGATTGAGGATGATAAGAAGATGTAGTCCTCAATGTGGTGCCACTTAGTTTGAATAAATGGATCCAAAATTGACTAAGAAATATACTATCTCTATCCGTCAAAATCGAACGTGGGAAACCATGTACCCGCACAATGAGGTCACAAAATAATGCAGCAACCTTAGCAGCTGTATAAGATGCAGGTAAACTACCAAAATAAGCAAACTTGGATAGCCTATCTACAACTACCAAGATGGTGGTGAATCCTTTAGAGGTTGGTAACCCAGTGATAAAATCCATAGACAATTCTTCGAACACTCCTTCGGGTATAGGCAAAGGTTGTAACAAACCAGAGGACTTAGAGGTCTCATACTTAACTTGTTGACAAATTTGGCATTCTCCAACAAAGGATTTAACATCCTTACGCATAGTAGACCAGTAGAAGGTAGCAGAAAGTCTCAAGAAGGTTCGTAAAACTCCAGCATGACCACCAAGTAAAGAAGAATGAGCCTCAGTAATGAGTATAGGAATAAGAGAAGAAGAAGAGCTGAGATAATACCTCCCCTTGAAAAAAATAATTCCATCGCGAACCACAAATTCAGGATCAGCATTGGGGTTGTCCTTAAGCTGCTGATGCCGTTGCAACAAGTGTGGATCTGTGGTGTTTTGATTCTGGATCTCAGTTATTATATCAAAGAGTGGCTCAGATAAAATGGTATTGAGATTTCCTTCTTCGAACTTCCTAGATAAGGCATCAGCAACAGAATTTGCCTTTCCAGGTTTATACTCAATTCGAAAAGTGTACCCCATTAACTTGCAGAGGTATTTTTGCTGTTCCTCCGTGTGAATGGTTTGTGTAAGAAGCTCCTTGATACTCCTGTGGTCAGTGCGAATAACAAACTTGGAGCCTAGCAAATATTGGCGCCATCTTTTAACCGCAGCCGTTATAGCATACAACTCCCGTATATATGTTGATGCATTTGCTAATCTGAAATTTAATTTTTTACTAAAATAAGAGATGGGCTGCTCATGCTGGAGAAGAACAGCACCTACTCCACTGCCTGATGCATCAGTTTCAAGCACAAATGGATCCTCAAAATTTGGCAAACGCAACACAGGGGTTTGAGTCATGGCAGCCTTAAGTTGTGAGAAGGCTTCATCTGCTTTGGCAGACCAGGCAAATGTCTCTGATCCCCTTAAAAGTTCTGTCAAAGGAAATGCTAATGTAGCATACCTGCGGACAAATCTTCGATAATAGCCAGTGAGGCCTAAAAATCCCCTCAACTGCTTTAGTGTTTTAGGCACAGGCCACTCCACCATAGCAGATATTTTTTTAGGATCCGCATAAACACCATTGACATCAATCACATGACCCAAATACTCTATTTTTTGAGTGCCAAAGGAACACTTACTAAGCTTGACAAAGAAACAATGTTGCTGTAAACAATCCAGTGCTATTTCCAGATGCTGAATGTGGTCTTCCAATGATTTGCTGAACACCAGGATATCATCAAAAAATACTATGATGAATTGTCGTAGGTAAGGCTTGAATAGATGATTCATAACTGCCTGAAAAGTAGCTGGGGCATTGGTCAAGCCAAATGGCATGACTAGAAACTCAAAATGACCATCATGAGTTCTAAAGGTAGTCTTGTGAATATCAGTGGGTAACATTCTAATTTGATGGTACCCTGCCCTTAGATCCAGCTTTGTAAACACAGTGGAGCCTCCCAATTCGTCTAGGAGTTCATCAATAGTTGGAATAGGAAAACGGTCTTTAATGGTGACAGCGTTGAGGGCTCTATAGTCTATACAAAGTCGCCAAGAATTATCTTGCTTCCTAACAAGTAAAACAGGAGAGGAAAATGGACTTTGTGAGTGTTGTACGAAACCAACATTTAATAAATCAGTTACCTGCCTTTCGATTTCAGACTTCTGGCTGTGAGCATATCGATAAGGCTTGACATTAATTGGTGAGGCATTATCTGTCAAATGGATTGAGTGATTCATTCCCCTGAAAGGAGGTAAGCCACATGGTAATGAGAAGATATATTGAAATCTGACCAAAACTGGCCAAATCTCATTGGGAACCGAATCCTTCAAAGCTAATAATTCGGACCCAATAGTATCCTGCACTTGTAGTTTGGTTTCAACTTGCAGAACATCACAAATTCCCCAATCGGATTGAACAGTATCTGAATCACCTCCATTTACAGAACCAAGTCTTTGGCCTTGTAAACATTTCGGTTGCCCCTCCCAAAAGAATTCCATGGACTTATGAATGTAATCATGGGTGACCTTCCCTAACTTCTCCAGCCAAGGCATGCCAATGATGACACTTAAATCTGCCAATTCCAACACCCATAAATCACAGACAAAACAAGTACCTTGAATCATCAAAGGTACCTTCAAGCACTTTTTGTCAGAAATCATAACCTCACCATTGCCCAAATAAACACGAATTTTATGACTATGGGACATAGGTAGAGATAGTTGAATAGCCAAGTGCTTTTGTATGAAGTTGTGGGTACTCCCTGAATCCACCAGTACTGAAAACTCCATACCCTTCAAGGTAGTTAAAAACATCAAAGAACGATAATGTTGACCATCATTCAAAGCATGTAGAGCAGCATCTCGTGATTCCCCACTTGAATTGTCCGCTTGCCATACAATGGTTTCCTCTTCAATTTCAGGATCCTGGTCAGATTCCTCTCCTACTAACAACATCAATTTATTTTTACAGATATGCTTTGAGTTCCATCGTTCATCACAAGTATAACACAGACCCAAATCTCTACGCTTTTGCAAATCAACATGCGAAAAACGTTTTCCATGATTAGGAGCAGGAAGGGCCAAACGTTGTGTTGTGGACACAGGAAGTTGGTTGACTCCCATAGTAGTAGGTGAATGTGTAGTAACAGGTGTAGGATCAACCACCGAATTGAATCGTGTCGCAAATTTGCGTTGTGTACCCTGAAAAGAATTCTTCAACTCACCGAAATGATCATCATATGCCATAGCAAGTTGAATGGCTTGGTGCAAAGAATTGGGTTCCCGTAATTGAACCGCACCTCGAAGCTCCGATTGGAGGCCCGATATGAAAAAATTCTTAAGAAGATCATCATCTAATTCAGGAGTTTGATTCACTAACGCCTCAAATTGCTGAATGAAATGGCGAAGAGAGGAGGTCTGGGTCAATTTAGATAACGCCCCTTTCAAATTGGTGAACCCAGGGATGCCAAAACGATGACGAAGAGAAGAACTGAAATCACCCCATGAACAAGCAGTACCTAATTTAAAGATCCATTGAAACCAGGAAGCAGCCATACCATCCATCTTCAACCCCGCCAATGGCACCTTGGTGTCTTCTGGAATCGATTGAAGAGTGAAAAAGAGTTCAGCCTTAAAGATCCAATTATTGGGATCATTGCCATTGAACAACGACATCTCCATCCGAATCCCTTTGAGTAAGGAACGATTATCGGTGGAATCTGAACGCAATGGTAGCGAATTTGAAGTATTGCTATGAGGAGGGTCACGGCGAGGTGAATGGTTAGCAATCACCACCTCCTGAAGTTGTTGCATCTGATGAACCAGCAAGGAAATCTGGTTGCGAGTGTCCGTCGCTTGCATCGTTGATTGCGCACGCAATTCTTCAAATTGGTTGTCAACCCGTTGCTTGAAGGAATGAAACTCCTCCGACAATTCTTGAACCCTAGTCATAGCGTCAAGAACAGGGAGTGCAAAATGAAAGCACCAATGTTAAGGGAGAAACCCTTAAAGGAGAAAGGAAAGGAAGATGAAGAGGAAAAGAATTCTGATATTATTCAAGATGGATCTGAAGAGTATCTCTTTACATGTATTTATACAATTCAACATTAACCAACTAATGTAACTGCAAATGCTATCTGTCCATACACGTGTAAGC